GGTTTCACCATGATGGCCAGGCTGGTCTTGAACTCCTGACAGGTGATCCACCCACCTCGGCCTCCCAAAGTGTTAGGATTACAGTTGTGAGCCACTGCGCCCGGCCTACTGCATCCTTTTGATCACTGAAATGAAAGCTATAAAAGATTCAAAAAAATAAAAATAAAAGGGTTTTTTACTTTAGCTGATGGAAACACCAAGTGCTGCAAGCTCTGTGTGAGTTACAGGGACGATTCCTTTTGAGAAGTTATTTTCCCTGCTTCGCATCATTTCCTCAAGTACATGTACTAATCAGCACTTAGCTGCAGATTGAAGACAGGTATCCAAGGCATTCTCTCTGTACAGCAATTGACTCTCTAGTCTGTCCTGTGATGTCGCCACCCTGACTTCTTCAAACTTAACAACAGGCTCTGCCTGGGTCCTCCCTCCCTGCTCTGCAGTTCAAAATCTCAGGCAGTAGACCGGAGTAATCTTAGGGCTCACCTCTTTTATTTCCTCTCTCCCAGGGATCACCGTACTGTACTGCACTATATCCAATGCCAAAGCTAGAGTTGAAAATGGTTTTTCCAGTTTTCCAGTTGCTTAAGGTGGAGGACAAATCTGGTCCCTATTACTCCAAGTTGGCCAGAAGCAGAAGTCTCCATTCAATCCTTGTGGTCAGAAGGAAGAGTATGACAGAAGGCAGCTTGACAGAATGGAAGATCCCTGGGCTAAGAATCAGAATTACCTGGGCTCTAGTCTCAGCACTGCGTGTACTAACTTTGTGCAAGTGATTGATCCTTCTTGAATTTCTGTTTCCTTCTTTGTAAAGTGGGTCAAATCATCATTCCACAGCTGCTGAAGAGATCAGTTGAAGTAGTATCCTAACGTTCATAAGTGTATGTCTCTTTTGGAGCTATTTATCTATTTATTTTCCGGTCCCAATAAACTGCCCAAATCTTTTGGGGTTACTTTAGGCACTGGACATAGTAGAAACTGGTATTGGAAAAGTTGATTTATTCTAGAATATTTTTCATAGAATTATCCCCAATTCTAACAAACTGAAAAAAAAAAAAAAGAATTACTCCCAAGAACATCTGAGGAAGCACAACAGGGACAGACTTGAAGGCGCCCCAGCACTCCTCTGGTTTGGAGTAGAGGTGGGAGAGGGTATTTGTCCCCTCAGAGACTGGAGTAGGTTCTGTGTGAGAGTAGCAATGGGACAGTCATGGTCTGACAGTCTGTGGCAGGAAGAAAGGTTACAACTGGAGAGTCCAAAGGGCAGCCGGGAAGTATTCTTTGAGCTGGGGAACAAGAGACATTTTAAACTTTTTGCTCTGCTTCAGGCAGCTGATGTCATGGTGATGATTCACCACATCAGGGACACCCTGTCCAGTGGGCTCAGGCAAGCCTGCCAGGCCACGTTGCTAAAGAAACAACCTGAGGCCTCTTGCAATAATTCTCGCAGGGTATTCTGAACACGTGTGAAGTGTTATGTCCCTGATCGTAATGAGACCTGCTTAACTTCTGACTGGCGCTTTCTAATTTTGGTTTGCAGAAAATCACAAAGATAAGCAAGAAGAAGACAGGCAAAAACTACTGGCTCCCAGGTAACTCGAGATGATGAAGGGCTGATAATGGACTAACCAAATCCAGAGATGATTCCAGGGTTCAAGAGGTTAAAGGTCCCAGATCTAGAAAAATCTAGAAGAAGCAGAAACTGCTGATTGCCCCTATTTTGTCCATTGATTATGCAATGTGTCCTTTTAAAAATAGTTCTCTGTTCTCTTTGCAGCTGTTGTATTGTTTCCTATTTTCTAGTTATTTCTCACATTTAGTTAACTAGTCAATCTTGTCAAAAAGTAAACTAACCACTGATCCCCGGTTTCTGTATCTTTAAAACCCATATGGTTAAAACCAAAGTGAGATTCCTATTTGCCTTCTGCACAGTCGTCCTCAATTATACTGGCAGATATTTTATAGCCAGAAAATTATCCTGAAAAGTAAATTGACACCATACCAAGTATTTATAGCTAGGGGTCTAAAATCTGCCAAAGCCTGGGAGGTTACGTTGTCTCCAGAGCCAGTATTCAATGGGCCACTCCACATAGTGTTAAATAAAATTTGAATGCAGCATTTTGAAGCCAATAGTGTGGGTCTCTGTGTGTCCTCTGTGCCCTGAGTGTATTGTGGAGTAGTGGTTGAGTCTGCTGCATATCTATGTGCTGTGAGGTCAATGCACTGATCACTTGCTGATCTCGCTTCTGTACTAAGTCTAGGCACACTAGACTCCCAGTCAAAGTGGATTTACACTTCCTGTTTGATAGGATGGTCCCTTTGGTTTTTGGTGCCTCTTCCATGAGCTTCAGATCAGAACTAGCTAAGAAGCTGTGGCTCCAGGCTGCCTTGGTTTAATCCCTCATCTTGCCTGCTCCCCCAGGCTCAGGAGGCAGGTCCAGGAGGAAGAAATGAACGAAGTCCTGGAGGACTCACTGGATGAGCAGTATTTGACTCATTCCAGCCGCCATGACTCCCGCCAGCTTCCCAGCAGCAATGCCTTCCTGTCTGATGCACAAGACCCCTCTACTGTGGATGTAGCCAGTGAGTGCTCCCTTTATAAGAAAAATAAAGCTCCATCAACCTCTCAATAGCTCCTGCATTCTACAGGCTCACCACCTGTGTCTAAACTGAGAGATGTTATTCTCTGCAGACAGGCCCTAAAAGGTGATCAGGATGAACACAGCTCTGGGATCAAGTCTCGAGCACAGGTCCCTGGCGGGTCAGGTAATTTGCTCTGTTCCTGTCCTCACCTCGGTCCCTCTGGCCCCCCCGGCATCTGCAAGCTGATATAGTCCAAGCAGGCCAGAATGGAGAGGGTGAAGAGGATGGCAGACTCTCTGCCGCCGCTGAGGCACAGGTACAGGTCCTGCGTAACGCTCTCCTTCTTTAAAATGGGCCATCTTATTTTTCCTGAATTTTGTTGTTGTTGTTGTTGTTGAGACGGGGTCTCTGGCTCTGTCACCCAGGCTGGAGTGCAGTGGCATGATCTCAGCTCAACAAAACCTACAACCCCAGGCTCAAAGGATCCTCCCAGCTCAGCCTCCTGAGTAGCTGAGACCACTAAGCCTGGCTATTTGTTTTGCCAGGGTCTTGCCTTGTTGCCCAAGCTGGTCTCAAACTTCTGAGCTCAAGCAATTCACTCACCCCCGCCTCCCAAAATGCTGGGATTATAGACATGAGCCACCGCGCCCTGCCTTCCTGAAATAGCCTTGATAATTACAGTTCCTGAACAGTCTCCCTAAGCTGTTCTAGCCGTCCCAAGAATGTTGGCAGGCTTGCCAGTATGTTTGGAGCTGCAGTTATAATGGGTCCTGGGCTTCAAGCTGCAGTCTCCATCTCCCCTTGGGAGCTTGCTTTCCCATAAGATTCCACCTGACTACTAGAATATCAGGGGATTTCCATAAAGGCAAAACTTTAATCTTGGGAACACTTTGTAAACAGCCAGGATTCTCAATCTTTGTGCAGCCCCAAGGTATTTTTAAGATCTTTGTAAGTTTCGTCTGAATGATGTAATTCAGTCTAAACCAACGACGACGATACCTGCTACAGAATAAATAGGCTGACTCTAACGGCAATGTCACCAGCATGCCCTCTTCCCGGAATAACTCCACTCTCGCCACTGGAGCTCCTCCAGGTATATACGAGCCCCGTGGGTTGGTAGCCTCATTGGTGTGTATATAAATTAAAGCCTCAACCTATATCTCCTCTCTCTTACTTGAATGTTTGACTTTACTTTGGGGGCAAAACTTTGGGTCGTTAGGAGACCATATGCCTTACGTACTCTTCTAGGCAAGAGAAAGAGACTGTATGAATTCCCTCACTGAGCTTTTATAGTCATATAAACCGTATTAGGCTTGTCATTTTGTCAGCGGTGGGGATAAGCATGTGGCTTTTATTACTCATACCATCCTCGACAAAGGCATCCTTATTTTTCTTTCCAGTTTCACCATAACGTGCAGATGAAGGTCTTTACCGTCTGTTAAAGATCTTCTGGGCTGGGCAGAGTCGTTCACAGCTGTAATCCCAGCACTTTGGGAGGCCTAGGTGGGTGGATCACTTGAGTTCAGGAGTTCAAGACCAGCCTGGCCAACATGGTGAAACTCCATCTCTACTAAAAATACAAAAATTAGCCAGGCGTGCTGGTGCATCCCTGTAGTCTCAGCTACTCAGGAGGCTGAGGCATGAGAATCCTTTGAACCTGGGAGACGGAGGTTGCAGTGAGCCAAGATGGGGCCTCTGCACTCCAGCCTGGGTGACAGTGAGACTCTGTCTCAAAAAAAAGTTCAGGAAAATATTTTGTACGGTGGAAGATATTCCCTAGTACCTACAAAACATCTCGAGGAGGTGGTCACACCTTTCCCAGTGCTAGAAAAGCCCTACTCAGAGCCCTTCAGTGATTTCCCACCTCCTTCCACCTGCCTTACGCTTCCCATATGTCCAGGTGGGAGGCATCCCTGTGGAGTCTGCTTAGCACTTGGCCGTGCTTTGTTGGAAACCCTAGGAGCTCTTAAAGGAAGTTGCCTTTTGTTCCCTGATAAGAAGATGAAGTTGGCAAAGGATGGTGAAAGGCAGGGATCTAGATGAGAGGCCCCTGACTACCTCTTTAGTGATCGGCATTCTTCATTTCCCATCTTGCTCCGTGTCCTGGGGGAATGGCTGCAGGGGAGGAGCTCCGGAGCCAGCGGCAGCACCTGAAGGAAACCCTTTTCATCAACAGCGGCTTGCTTTCAGAAAAGCGGCAATGTTGTCTCAGCAGCTTTGACAAAGAAAAGGGTAGGATAGGCTCATGTCGGTCTGCTTCTGGCAATATGTATTTTCTAAAGGCATGTGACTGGGGCAGAGCTTTATAGATTGCAAGCACTTTGACATACTTCACTTATTCAATATAGATGTCCCCGCTAGAGAGGTAGGGCGGCTGCTACCATTCCCCTTATAGACGGATAAATAGGCTTCGATAGAGATTTGCCTCCATCTCAGGGGTATCTCCCTCTAAAATCATTCTTGTGGTTCCTAGGCTGTCTGCTGTCGTCTGCCTGCGGCTGTACACTGCCTGCTGTCTCCATGCTTCTTGTGTGATTGGCATTCAGTAAAACACAGGTTTCTGAGCACCCCATGTAGCAGAATGAGAGTCTCCTCTGCTGCCATTGCATCAGCTTCCCTTATGTCCTGGTCACTCTTCATTCTGCCACTCCAAGGCCATTCTCTCCAACCCCCTCCTCCTAGATGGCTCTCACACAGAGGCCGTCATTTCACAACATTGTGCTGGGCCAGAAGAACAGTCACCACGTCCCTTCCCACACTAAAGCAGCAACTACTTTGGAAAAGCCTCCTTCATATTGCAGCCATTGGGTGTGAATGCATGTGATGTGCTGGCATTTGTTGAGAATCATGTGAAGATGAACCTTCTGCCCCATCGCACTAAGGTCTACCCCTGAGTCCCCACGGATCCTTCCTAGGCTAAGGTAGAGTCGAAGAACATGAAATGTGCAGAAAGCATTCTCTTAAGCAAACATGTACAACTTGCCTGAATTGTCATGATTCCCTGGAACAGGATGCACTTCTGAGTTCTCCAGGCAGATACAGATTCCATTGTCCAGCTGCTTAATGAAAACAGAGTTCTCAGAGAAGAATGCTGGAGACTTCCCTGGCTTGCCTGAATCACATTTCTAGAGATAAGTTCTAAAAAGCCACAATATGAAGTCACTCTCAGATGGGTCCCTTCTTTTGTCACACCCCACTGTAGAAACCAAAGAGCATGGGGAGGCCAGAGCTGCCCAAAGCCTTATGACCCACAATTCTCATAGTTATTCTCAACCTGGAGAGGGCTGCTTTCCAGATGCTTCCCCACAGGCCCCAGACTGCCAGGCTCCAGGACTAAGCAGCTCTGAGAAATACACTGTTAGGTACAAGCCACACTCCACTACTGCAAACTGGAGAAGAGAAGAACAAACTTAAAAGGTGAAAAGAATTAAGACAACAATGATTTTAATTGAATACTTTTTATTAAGACTAAATCAACTTTCCCCTAGGGTGCTGAAAGAATAAGCAATCATAATTTAGATTCTAAGTTACTGTCTTTGAGGAAGTATGAAAACCTAAAAGGTGCCATAAGCCAACAAAAGCACAAAAGTGCTAATTTTCAAACTGATGAAAATGAAGTACTAAAAAAATGAAATCAGCATGGTTCATTTGGTCCTTGGCAAAATACACATTTGTTGGTTGAAATGATAATATCCCAGCTACCTTGTTGTGCCTAGCTCTTACCACTGAGGAGAAAAACCAAACAAAAACCAAAAAAAAAGTTCAAATTGGCAAAAATGTTTACAAACCTGCAAAATCTCTTCAGCCCACCCCTTAAACTCCAGACGTGGTATTTCCTAAGCTCTGCTGTGCACAAGGCCCACCTCAGGGTCCATTCTTGCACAAGTTCGGTTAGGTATAAGCCAAGATCACATGGGAGGTTTTTTTTTTGACCCTTTCATTCCTATGTTTGCTTTTGCTTCCAAAGTTCCTTCTGAGTAAGGACTGTCCCCAGACTACTGGAGTCACTTCATCACAAACTGGCCTGATGGTTCGGAGCTGGCAAATGTGGGCGTTTATGTGAAACCCACAGCACCCAGCAACCCTGCGGGCAGAGGATTTCCCCATGACGTGCAGGTGTCTAAAGCCCAGCTACTGACTTGAAGGGAGCCTTTGGGATGAATTCGCTCTGGGAAAAGGGAATCCAGAGGCTGACTTTGCCTTGGAAGTCCAATTCAGAAAGAGAGTGATTTACTTGAGATGGTGAGAGATGGAAAGAAGCCTGTGGTGAAACAGAAATGAAGATAATGCTGGGAAATAGAGTGGGTCTACTCATTAGCTTTAAATCATTCTGTCATATTATAAAGACTGATGAGGTTTTACTAACACACGTGCCTGAGCTCTACACATATTCTGATTGAAATGCTTCCAGGTGGGAGGAAGCCACGAGTAGTCTTAAAAACCTCCCAAATAATTGTAACATGAGGCTGGAGATGAAAAAGACCATCTATCTACTAGAATCCCAAGTCTCCAGCATAGAGGGGTCTCAAATGTGCAGCCACCTCATAGAAAAGGCTTAACATCAGCCATTGATGGAATCTGCCTTCATCTCTCAATGGTCTTGTTTGCACAGTATGGAAAAAGGAGAAGAGAAAAAGAGGTAGACAGAGAGATTAAACCTACAGTTTGCCTATGTAAAGCAGTTTCTTAAATGTTTTTGACCACAAGATGCAGTGAGAAATATACAATTCTTTGTGATCAGCTTTTTAAAACTCTTTTACTGTGTGTATTGCATCCTACCTAGAATTCACATAAAGCCTGCAGTAGTAAGCAGTCCACTCTACTGATTTCACAACCACAAGTGGTTCAGAATTGCAATTAAAACATTTTGACTTTTGCTCAGCCTTTTTATCAAGCAAACTCCCAAATGAACACTTGCTGTAAAAGAACATTTACTATGAACAGCTTCCTGTGAAGCCTGATTTCTGTCCCAGCCACCATGACTCAGGAGTCTCCAGAGCCTGTTAGTGTTCTCCAGATTGAGGCCTCCCTCTCACTTCCCCTAAACTCTGTGGTGTAGTGGAAAAGTGTGAGACCTCGATCCTCATCCCAGGTCTTTC